CAAAACAAGGAACTGCTTCATGAATAAGGAGGGTAAGAAGAAAGCAACAATTCACAAACCATATGGAAATCTGGGTGTAAATTGGAGAACTCTGAGAAAAAACATTTCCTGCCCTCCTGATGGAATCCTTTCAAAGATCTTACTGGAAATCTCAGAGGTGTCCCATTTAATCTCTTTGGATTAAGAAAAGAATGAGGCAGAATAGGATTAGTACCAGCTTTAACAAGGAGGGCAATTTATTTATCCTATTCCTGTCTGAGCTCACATTTGTATGGTGTGCACCATCTATGCAAACCTGTATAAGAGCTCATCTTACTTATTCTTAAAGGAATGGCAAAGAAGGATTTTTTCCCTTCTCAAAAATGAAGGTAAATGCTAAGAAAGATTTACTATTTTACAAGGTGTCATCCTCAAAATATTTTAAGACTGAGAATGACTTCAAAATGGCTAGGGCTACGATTACATGAACAACGTCACGCATCAAATGCTTTTCACACACACACACACATACAAAAATGAACTCAGGATGGTTATGATCAAATTAATGAGAAAGTATTTAACCAAACTCTCATAATGAATTGTTGAGGCTCTTCTTAAATTGAAGATTCTCAAACTGCAGACTGATCTCTGAGGGTCCCCTACGGGGCTGGAGGCCAAAGCAGACTCCCAGCAGGAGGTCCCAACCCAGTCCACATACCACTTGCCTTCTCATCACCAACTCCGAGGCTCAGAGCTCACTGACTTCTCCCTGTCTACATGTCGCCCCTCTTCCCTATCTCAACAATTTCACTTTTCTCTTGGTAAAGAAAATTTTGTGAGGACAACATGGTTTGGGAACAACTTTAGACTATGAACTACAAAGACTTTCTTCTGTAAGCCAAGTGTTTATTATACACTAATTGCAATGTTTACTAGCAGGATTTATAACTTTAAAAATCTACATTAATTTCCTATATTTGCAAAGGTATCTAGCTTTCCCAGCAATTTAAATAGAAAATTTACTGTTAAAGATTGGGCTGAATTTAAATATTGTGTCAAGGAAATATCTGTGCTTCTGGATAATATAGACAAGGTTTTCCCTCACCTTCCAAATAAATGAGGGATAGCAAGACAAAATAACACAAAAAAGAGGTATAATTGTGCTTTTTTCCCCAACAATGAATGAATTACGTAGAACAAATTGGCAAGATAATCTCACTAAAAATCTTTTCATCTTATTTTCCCCTTTAAAAAAAAAAGATTGTTAATTTTTAATAATGCTACCATGAAGTACAAACAGGTATGGTCCTACACAAAATGGAAGGTAGATTCCTTTGGTTCCATTTCTTGAGTAATAAGTTGAGTAAATTGGGATGGTATTGATTTTTCTTATTGAATAAATAAAAGGAAGCACGTCTTATATCAGGTAATGGATATGAAAATTTTTTTAATTCTAAAAAGCTGCCTATGTAACTTCAGAAACATTTAAACTAATACAGCACTCAACTTATTTCTTAAATCAGGAACAATAATATTGTTCCTATGAGAAGCCCTTTTCTAAAGGCCTTTCTGCTCTGTCCTTCAGATTTATACAGGTATAAATCAAGTTGTTGACCAAACTGCACTGCTTGTGATAAGCAGGATTCAAACAATTACATTCACCACTCCCTAGGGAGGGCCCATTACCATGGGCAAATACAGTTATCACTATAAATGCATTTAGAATCAGTCTTTGGCTTAATATGTGTTAACCAAATTCAGGAATGAAATAAAACTTGCATAAATGTTAAGGGGGGAAAAAAGAAAAATGATACAATGAATTGTAATGACCTACCCAGCCCTTCCTCTTAGAAATACACAAACTCTATCAAACACTTCTTTTTGGTCAAATGGCCTCCCTTAATTTCCAGACTCTCCCATATAAGGTGGCTAAAAGTTAGGATTGAGTACCTTAGCTTAGGAGATTCATTCAATTCAAAAAGCATTTCTTGAGATGATAAAAAAGATGATATAAAGTAAAAAAGGACTAAAGGTTGAGTCATGAAGCAATATGATCAGCAGAATATTTAGGGATGACGATGGGGAGTTGACTTGAAGCTAAACACCCATCAACAACTGTTTTAGTGTTTCGTGTGCACATGTATAAATGGTATGAAAGGTATTTCATTTCACAACTTGTTTTAAATAAGATAAAAAAGAGAAAATTTTTTAAAGTTACCTTTGTCTAAGGATTTATTCTTTTAAACACAGATTTTTATGCTGGTTTAAGGTTTATCCTCATAAAGTGATCCATACCCACAAAAAGGCAGAATTCCCTCATCCCAAATTGACTAGAGAATTCAGACAGGGCAGGGAATAGAAGACCATTGTACTGATATTTAAAGCTTAGTATCCTTTTAAATATTAAAGTCTGTTGGTGAATCTTATTTAGGAGAGGGAGCATCTTTTGAACCACATAGGAAAACAGAGACAGCCTTTCCTTGCCCTTCCTCTTAACCCACTGGACTTGAGTCCCTTGGGACTCGACACTTCCTTTGGTAGCAATTGTGGGAAATTAATGCTATAACCTTCACTCCAGGACGGTGGGTACCAGCATTTCCCTCCCTGAATCCCTCGTCCTCACTCAGCACTCCTCGAGGGAGGGACTCCTCACGACGGGCGGGCACAGGATCCCTGACAGCCCTAAAGTCATCTGCACAGACTGAAAGTAGAAATGTCAAGTCAGGATAAAAGATTAACTTTAACTACATTAGAGAAACAGTAGGATGGAGAGGAGAAAAATTAGTAACTGACACTGCCATTCTATTTACACATCAAACTAAATAAACTAGTTAAAATCAAGTTAATGTCTGCTCAAAGGATATTACAAGTTACCAACATAAAAGATTAAAACAAGCAGCAACTTTTATATAAAATTAATAAAGACAAATGAAAAAAGAAATTGTCAGTAGCATCTATCTCCTCAATGTGTCTGAACTGCACGTTATTAACTAGTCCATTAGTACAGCAGCTTGCTAAAAATTGACTTTGGTTCAAGCTTAGTTAAAAAAAAACAACACAAAAAAACACACCACACATAAAAAAGGTGGATGGACATTTGTTAGTCTCCCTGCTTGCAGTTCACTGATTTTGGAGGGATTTTAGGAAAGGTGAAAGGTGAGAAGAGGAAATTTAGGGTGGTAATTAAATACTTTGTGAAATAAAACGGGAAGACAGAAGGAACTGAAGAAAAATTAACAAGGGACTAAAATGTTTCTGGCCTTTTAATATTAATGCACCTGTCTCCCACTTGGATGATCACAAACAAAAATACACACTGTGTCTGTATCACTGCCATTCCCAATACTGTGAGGAGACAGATAAACAGAACCCAAGCTCCCTTGTGGACACAAGCAGAGCAGTTAGACTGAAAATCACCTGTAAGCTTGCTCTCAGCCCCCAGCTCAAAAGCGGGGAAAGAGCAGTCTTGGGACCACCAGAGAGGTAAGCAAGCACCCAGACACCAAATGGGAACCCTTAACTCCAACCAGAAGAGGAGCTCAGATGAGCTGCATTGCAGTGATCCAGTTTTTCGGGAATGTTTTTGGTACAGATACTGCAATAACAGCACATTGACAAGAAGGGGAATCTAATCTCCAAGTTACCCTCATTCCTCTTCATCTACTTTCATCAACTCTTCCTTTTCATGGGCTCATTTACATAGTCTAGAAACACCCTGAAAACAATTACAGAAGCTAATCACTTTCTACGAGTATTGCCATTTAGACCATTTAGACCGACCTAGCAGGAGCATCACTAACAAACCAAAGAAATACTTGAGGTGTGTGCAAAGTTCCTGCTCAAAGTCCTTCTAAGGGTCCACAGATCCCAGTCCCAGCTAAGTGCCTTCTCTAGTCAGAGAACCAAGTAGAGTCTCAGGGTTAGAGGAATTTATAAGCCATCCGGTGAAAAGGAAGTCTGTGGCTAGAGGAAAAGGTGGTAACCTCAGCCTCTTCTCATCACACACACCTCTTTTGGTGATATATAATCGATGGAAAATAGTCTAGTAGCGTTCCTTTAGAAAACAAAAGAAGGGAAAAGCTTCCCAATTTCAATAAGTCAATTTGTTCTTTGCCAAGTAAGCTAAAGGAAGTTTGGATGAAAAACTTCCACAAACCAGAAAAAACAAACACACACACTAACAGTAGGAGCATTTTTCAGGAGATAAGAAATTAGGAGAACCACCAAGTCAGGTGTCCGCAGTAGTCTTTGCTCTTTAGAACCAAACCCTGCCCTGCACCATGCACGGCCACGCCCATGAAGGTAGCAGAAAGCAGCACTGTTGCACCGCAGGCTCTGGGCCTCAGGGTCAGTCAACAATTTGGGGCGAGTGAGAGCTACAGTTCAGCAGGAATTCTTTCCTACACAAAAGTGCTCCAAAGGCACCACCTGATGCGGGGGGGGCGTGTGGGGTGGGAGTGTTTGCACACACTGCCTTCAGCTTCTGCACCAAGCCTCTTGCATAAGTGGCAAAAGAAAATAATTTTCTAGCACCTCTGTAAGAGTCATCAAGGATAAGGAAACCAGCAAGACCATTCCCCGCAGTTAAGAACATAAGTTCCCCTTACCTCAAACCCTCCCTCCCCACAGTGTGGGAGCTCACTGAAGTAGGATCCAGGAGCAAGAGATAAACATGTCAAACTATATATATATATATAAAAAACAATAACAACAACAATAATAATAATAGAGATACAGTAATACAGGCCTGCCTAAATTGTACCAGTTAAGAAAGGAACCCCAACACAATTGATACGATTATAAACACCTTGTTATGACTTAATGGCCTGTACAACAGACCCATAAAAATGATTTTTTTTAAGAAAAAAAGAAATTTAGACAAACAAGAAATTCCCTTCCTATATTGGAATTGGTAACCCACCTTAACTTGTCATCACGACTGCTGGAAATGGTAAGTAGTCCTTTCACTTATTTTTTGTTTGTTTGTTTTTGACTTTTTGTTTCTTTTTTTTTTTTTTTTTAATTTTTGGTTAGAAAGTTCTCCAATCCATGAAGCAATCCTGAAAAGACAGTGTTTTATTACAAAATTAGGCAAATGTTGTCCTGTCTCCATCCTTGCTTTTTCCCATGTGTGTTTTCTCCTTCTCTCCCTTGCTCTTGCAACACGGCAAGAGGAAGCCAGTCACATCTGTCAGTCTCGGCCTGGCTGACAGCCCAATCACACTGCGAGCGACGAAGACCACAGGCAGCCCGCTCAGCCCAGCTCACTGTGCCTTGGAGGCAGTGGTGGTGGTGGCAGCAGCCCCGCTGGCAGAGGCCACTGTGAAGAGAGAGTTCTGGATGGACTCAGCTGAGGTGGAGGTGGCATGAAGGCTGGCAACAGGTCCAGAGTTCCCTGCAGAGGCTGCAGCGGCAGAGACCAAGCTAACCGGGTTGCTGGTGAGCAGAGACAGGTTCTGAGGGTTCAGGAACAGAGGGGCAGTCACGATGTTGGGGGCTCCTCCCGCATTGGCAAATACCAGGTTCCCAGTTGCATCCAGTGATGTTATTGGAAGAGAGCCACCAGAAGCAAGAGCTACAGACAAAACCCCCAAAACAGGCAGGAAGGAGAACGTTAATATCATCCTGGAGAAGCCAAATAACACACCAAATGTACTGAGTTTTCCTACAACCCAGTTGGAAAAAGTGCAGCCCTTAATTGATTTTTTTTTTCTTAGTCACAGTGCAATCCCATCACCAACTGAAAGTCATTTGTAATTTTGAAAGAGCCTAAAGGACTGAAATATCTAATCAATTTAGTGAGCATGAGCAGGATAGGTGAGAGGGGAGAGTTAAGAATTGTCTAATGAATCAAAGAGTCATGTTTCTATCTTGAAATCTCACCTTTATTTCATCTGCCTAGAAGTATTTGTTAAATCCAATCATTTTGTTTTTAATGAAGACTGCTATTTTAAACTACCTCCGTTCAAAAGACAAACTGGCTACCATTAAAATATAGTTAGCTTCCATCAAACCAACTGGCATTATTGATAAATTTGAGCACTTTACAGTATGGTATACAAGATGAAACCATCTTTCAAAAAGGCTTTAGTTCTAAAATAATTTATGTACTACCAAATAAAGTATAAGATGTGATTAATTTTTCACTTCCTGAGGCAGAACATCTGCTTTCTCTGACTTGTACAAAGGAGAATGGTGAGTCTACTGTCTGAGGCCAGCGGAGACGCAGTGACGTACGCAGGTGGCCCCAGGTGGCTTATCTAAGGTTAGGACTTGCTTTAATGCATGACAATTGTTCCGTAATGCTGTTGCTTCTCTACAGAAGGCATCATAGAAGTTTTCTTTAAAATAATTGGGCATTGTTATTTAATATCTTTCCTGTTATCTGACAACCCCCCAATATCCCCCACCCACATAACCACACCCCCACGTGTAGATTTGACGGTTTTTCTACTGGCATTAAAAATTTGGTTGATTTCTTACATAATATATAAAGAAAGCTAGTGGGACTGAAGGGAATGTCCCTGACTTTGGCCATGATCCTACAAAGAATACAGAATAGTGAGACTTGTGCAGCTTGAAGTTTTCTGAGATTGCAGGCTTAGGGTCATGGACCAGTTCTAGATCTCCCAAAGATACCTGTTCTATACTCAACCGTGCCCTGGGGAAGGCATTTTGCCTTTATAGCATCACTACAGCCCAGAAACACACCCTAATGCAAGAGAAAAAGTGATTTGTCACAAATCTTATTCCAAAAAGAAATCCTTATATAACAAAAGCTAACCATCAATTTCACATATGATTTAGTCAATGAGAAAGTCAATATAATGTAAGGTAATCTAGGTCATGTCTTAGATTTGTCTGTAACTAATATTCTCTATAGTATACTGTAGAGATATCATCCATGAAACAGTAATCTTAATTAGAGTTGGCCAACAGCTTATTTTTGGCCACAAGAACTCTCATTAAGTACAAACTATTTTAATTTTAAGAAAAAAAATTATCTGATTAATACAGTGATGACTCTCAAATTGTTTTGTTGAACCAAATAACAGTAAGCATCTTCAGACACAAAGCTCAGAAGGTAAACAAGACAAATCCTTCACTATACAGAATGAGTGGATTTAGACTCATTTTAGACTAGATAGCATGCTAAGTCCAAAAGGGACCCATCTGGGCTTGGAAATATATGCTCTACGATGCTCTACAATGCTGGAGATATACAAACGACAGAACCTAACAAGAATTAAAAGTACTCTTGAGGTCTGCATGATGTGTTCCAATGTTAATTCATTACAGGATCTTCTCATATATGGCTCTTTTGGGGGTGGGGACAGGGACTGGGGAATTTTACTCGGTCAAGTTTGCCTGGGGATGAGTCTTGAAGGACTACTTGGATAAATTTATCAGGAGGAAATTCTGCCTCCAAGTCTATTCACATAGGAAGATAAATATCAGCATAAAAGTCCTGGCTTCTTACAACACTCCAAACTAAGTGTATTTCTTGTTCTTACCAACTAACACCTATCCTTCTCTTTCAAAGCTTTTTTACAAGGACATGTTCTTGGTCCTCAAGTTGGTCAGCACTATCAACTCAACTCCCTCTCCCCATCACCTTCACCTCTAGCAAAGCAGACTTCTTCCATTAAAAAAAAAAGAGCTCAGTGAGGAATAAAATCTACTGACCTTGAATAGTTGCCAGGGTACTGTTGCTCATCAGAGCTGGGCTGAGGGCACCGCCCAGGGTCCCTGGGTTGAGGCTGAGTAAGGCACCTCTGCAAGTCGAAAAGAGCAGTCACTTTATTATAACACAGACACACCTGTCAGCTGGACAACACACCCAGGAGGACAAGAAAAAGGAAAATACAGCTGGGGAAGTATGTGGAAACAATCGTTATTCTCTTAGATGGTTTGTTTGTGCATCTAAGTTACTGCTTTCCTTGATGCTTACTTGTACAAAACAAACCAAGGTTATGATCGACACAAAATGTAAAACTCGCAGTCATTTTGACTCTTGAATTACTTCATTCTTTTTTCCAAAACAAAAGTAAAAATGCCAGAGAAAAGAATGTATTTACAAAGTAATTCTTATATGTTTGATAACAATATAAAAGTGGGAATCTTATTACTATATTTCTTACTTTTTTTGAGAATTAGAAAGCAGGCAGTTAAGAGAGTTTAATGGAGAAAGCATAAGAATAAGAATCAGGAATTCTGGGAGTTCTTCCTGGTCCCATTTCTCAGGTATAATCAGTGGCTTGGTGTTCCGTGTCTCCATCTGGAAATAATGGTATGACTACTGCCCTTCCAGGGTGTTAAGAAACAAGTTCAACTATAACCAAGGTCCTTGCACTACTATAGAGCAACCCATTTCAAAGAGATTATGGCTTTAAAGAGAGGTGGGGTTTTTTTGCATTTAATAAAGCAATGACAAGTCTCCCCTACAAGTAACTCTAGGGACGACCTCCTAGTTGTTTCTTAGATGTGAACAAGAAAGCTCCTTACCCAGCAGCAAACTGTGAGGGTGCCATCAGGCCTGGGTTCAGTCCTGCAGCGGCAGCCATGGCAGCAAGACTGGCATTTGCTGGCAACTGTGCAGCTCCTTGGAGGGCGGCAGCTGCTGCTGTTTGCAACCCTGACGCTGTCACCATCACCTGGCTGGTCCCAAGAGGAGAGGACAAAGGAGTGGAGGTGGTCTGTGTTGTGCTGGTCTCACTGGCACTAGATGCCTCGGAGGTGGAGGCTGAGGCAGAAGGAGAGGGACTCAGAGAGGGGGACGTGACTGCCGAGGAAGCTGGCGGCGCTGTGGAAATCACGGTTGCAGTGTTGTTGGAGGTGGTGTCTGTAGTGCCTGAAAAGAGAATCACATTAGAAAGTGACGGTGTGTAAATGTTTTTGGAAGAATGGTGGCTTTATTCAGCCATACACTAGAATTAACTGAATAACTGATCTACCATCCGGTAACCTCTATATGTGTCCTTTTTTATTAACCTAGTTTAGTGTTTCTATGGAAATTAACCACAAAAACAAACATCGTAGAACCAAAGCCATGAACCCTATTTCAAGAGGCAAGAGCAATAAAGCAACCATGAAAGAAACAGAGAGCATAGTTTTCCATTTCCAATTTCCTATTCAAAAAATAAAAAAAAGAATCACAGAAGCTCTAGCTACAGAATACAACTGCTCCGGGGAAGAAGCGTATAAGCAAAAAATCCCTGCTTCTGAAAAGCATTTGCATTCAGAAATCTCCTCAGTAGTCTCTATAGAAAAATCAAAACAAAACAATGAAGGAAAGAAAAGCTAAAAGTTACATATTTTTCTAAAATAAGTATCAATTTAAGTGTCAATAACAACATATGCGGAAATAGCATGAAAATAAAGGCGTTATGTCTAGATGTCTTCTTTGCATTAAAAAATTCAGGTAGCTATTCTGTAATGAAAATCATCTCTCAAAAAGCCTATTGTGGTAAACATTTTCTTATTCACGGAAACAATAACATGATGATATTATGAATCTCATAAAAGTCAGCATGAAAAATGAAGATTTAGGAAACCATTATTTGAGAGGCCTTAAAAACATCAAGATGCCAAAATTTCTTTTTGTTGTAAGGAGAACAAACATGCGCATACAAATGACTAATTGACATTAAAAACATCATTATTGAAAACTAAAACACATTCATTGAAATTGTTTAACGTTCGAGATCAATGTCATCTAGTGAAAATATAATGCATATGTAATTTTAAGTTTTCTACATAGTCCCACTGAAAATCCTAAAAAGAAATAGGAGAAATTAATTTCAATATTATACTCAATTTAACCCAATATATCCAAAATAATATCATTTCAACACGAAATCAATATTAAAACATTATTAATGACTTATTTTTTTCATACTAAGTCTTTGAAAACGGTGTGTATTTTATACTTATGGTATATGGCAATTCGAACTAGCCACATTTTACGTGCTTAAAAGCCACATGTGGCTAGTGCCGACCCCACTGGATAGCACAGATCTAAAATATGTCTAGAAGTTAGGTCTGCTGGGCCCCAGAGGCAATGTGACTTAAAGAATGTTAAGTCTCTTTGCCTAAAGTAGAAATGACTCGTAAGGCAGTCATGGGATAGATAACATTCCACGAAGCAGAAGATGCCAACCGTCCCCAGTGAGCTATAATTTTGACTCTATCTATGAAAGACAGTATAGAACAGGCTCTCTTTTGTCAGTTATCAGCCAACACTACATATTACAAAAACAGGCCGCCTAAACTAGCTGGAACTTAATTTAGTGAAACTCACTATGTTCTAGGATATAACCAACCACATATATGTAGAAAGCAGAACCTAAGTGGTATTTTCTCAGGATAGAGAACTCAAAAAGACAAAAAGCATCTAAAAATTTTCAATATCATACTTCTATGAGGTATAAAAGACTTGGTATATTATAGAAGAACTAGACCAATCAAAACAAATATTTCAAACCTATAAACAGATTGGAAAAAAGATCTATGTAAAAGTTAACTTTTTTTTGAGATAAAATCTAACACTAAGCTGCAGAAGACTCTTCTCCCATAACAGCTTTATTAAAAATTCAGACAGTTTTGGGGTTGGCCCAGGGGCACAGTGGTTAAGTTGATGTACTCTGCTTAGGTGGCCTGCGGTTCACGGGTTCGGATCCTGGGCGTGGACCTACACACCCCTCATCAAGCCATGCTGTGGCAGGTGTCCCACGTACAAAATAGAGGAAGATGGGCATGGATGCTAGCTCAGGGCCAATCTTACTCACACATATACAAAAAAATCAGACAGTTTTGCCCTTCTAAAATCTATTTTGAAGCTTTTTTCTGGTCTGTACTAAGAACACGTAGAACTCAACTCTCTTCTCATGTAACTCTAAGGAAATGTTTCTTTCACGTATTGCAGAGCTGGGAGAAAATTAGACATCACCTATTTCAGTAGTGACTCTACTCTTCCTACCTCCTATAATGCTGCACAAAAGTGTTATGTGGTCTGAATGAATCGGGTAAACAAATCTTTCTTATTGTTAACTGAAAGTGGAAGGTTTACTCTTCTTTCTGTCCTCCTCAAAAATATAAATAAGATGATTCCCTCTTTATTGCCGCTGTCTCTAAATATAATTACATCCTTCTGGATATTCTTAATCACAGTTTCATTATTTCTTCAGTTCTAAATCTGTCAGACCAATCTATATCACTGAGCTTCTGATGCTGTGTTAGGTCCTATGCTTGGTGGATTCATACACACTTTTTCACTCTGACACTCTTCTCCTAAGACCTGTCCCTCGTTCCATAGAAAGTTAAACGTCTTTTCTCATTTCTCTTCTGTTGCTAAGAAATTTCAATGTACTTTCACTCTTTTCTTGGCCAATTTTTCACCTTATCTAATCTGATTTTATCTGTGGGCACTACTTCCCTTTCAAATTTCTGGAACCAAAATTGCCCATTTTCAGAAGATCCTATCCTGAGGTCAAAGGTTTAAAATAACCTTTTCTCCACTCTCCACTGGCACTTTCAGACCATTCGGTATCATGTTCTTAAAATTTCCTACGTATACAAAGAAAATCCCAGTCAAATCTTCTCAGTGAATTTAACCTGGGCTAGGAGATGATTCCAGAAATAATTCAGCGTTGCTTCTTCTGGTTGTCATCCTCCCACCACACTCCAGGTCGTCCATATGAATGTCACAGGAGCACTAGACTAGAGTATGAGCTTAATATGAGCTTCAAATACTTCTCCCAGCCCATGAATCACATCTTAATCAATACAGATCTTTTATGACCTTAAATTCTTGGCAACTTAATTACGTGAGCAACTTTGATCAGGGGACTGATGCTTGCTGAGCTTCAATGTCCTCAACAACAAAATATAGACGCTGTCACTCACCTCTCGGGTTGGTAGGAAGTTATATGCAAGAATATACAGAGAGTGGCTGGCCCATCCTCTTGCTTCCCACTTCACCTTTTTATAAATAGATTTATTGAGGTACAATTTATATGCCATAAGATTCACCCAATTTAAGTATAAAGTTCAATGATTTTTAATATATTTACAGAGTTGTATAACCATCACCGCAATGCAGTTGGGGTGATCTCCACGACCCAAAAAAGATCCCTTGTGTCCATCTGCAGTCACTTCCTATTCCCACCTACAGCCCCCAGTCATCTGCTTTTTATCTCTACAGATTTACCCTTTTCAGGACTTTTCACATAAATGGAATCACACAATTTGTAGTATTTTGCATCTAGCTTCTTTCAGTTAGTATACTTGTTTTCAAGGTTTATCCACGTTGTAGCACAAATCAATACTTCCTTTTTCTGGCTTAAAAGTATTCCACTACATGAATAGACCACATTGTGTTAATTCATTCACCAGTTGATGGGCACTGGCTTGTTTCCAGTTTTGGTTATTATGAATAATGCTGCTACAATCATCTGTGTAAAAGTTTTTGTGTGGACATGGTTTCACTTCTCTTGGGTAACTGCTGGGTAGGATGGTATTATGTTTAACTTTTAAAGACACTACCAAGTGTTTTCCAACGTGGCTGTATCATTTTACATTCTTACCAGCAACGCATGAGGGTTCCAGTTTCTCCACATCTTCGCCAACACTTGTTATTTTTGGTCTTTTTGATTATGGCCATTCTACTGAGTATGAAATAGTATCTCAGTATGATTTTAATTTGCCTTTCTCTAATGAGTAATAATGTTGAGAATCTTTTCATGTGCATATTAGTTATTCTTATATCTTCTTTGGTATAATGTCTATTAAAATCTTTTGCCCTTTTAAAAAACTAGGTTGTTAGTATTCTTATTGCTGAGTTGGAAGAGTTCTTTATAGGTTCTGGATACAATTCCTTTATCAGATATGATTTACAAATATTTTCTCCCAATCTGTGGCTTTTCTTTCCATTTTCTTAAAGGTGTCTTCTGAAGTACAAACGATTTTACTTTTTTTTTTTTTTTTTTTTGAGGAAGATTCACCCTGAGCTAACATCTGTGCCAATCTTCCTCTATATTGTATGTGGGTTGCAGCCATAGCATGGCCGCTGATGAGTGCAATGCAACAACACTGAATTCATTTATTAGTCCCATTAGGTTTTTTGGTGTGTGGATTCCTTGGGATTTTTATACATATAAGATAATGCAAATAAAGACAGCTTAACTTCTCCCCTCCCAAACTGGATGTTTTAATTTTTCTTCCCTTATTAAACTGGCTATACCTCTAGTACAATGTTAATTAGAAGTCTACAACAGCAAACATTCTTGCTTTGTTCCCAGTCTTAGGGCAGAAAGCATTCAGTCTTTCACCATTAAGATGCTGTTAGCTGTAGGTTTTTAGTAGATGCCCTTTATCAGGTGTGGAAGTTCCCTTCTATTCCAGGTTTTTATCACAAATGGGTGTTAGATTTTGTCAACTGCTTTTTCTGTAACTACTGAAATGATCATGTGGTTTTGGTTCTTTCTTCTATTACTATTGTTTATTATATTAATTGATGTTCAGTTATTAAACCAACCTTACATTCCTGGGATAAATTCCCTTTGGTCATTACGTATAATCTTTTTTATACGTTGCTGGATTTGATTTGCTAAGATTTTGTTGAGGATTTTTGTGTATATTTTCATGAAGGATATAGGTCTATAATTTTTTTCCTGTGATATCTTTGGCTTTAGTATCAAGGTAATACTGGCTTCATACAATGAGTTATCCGTCATCCTCTATTTTCTGGAAGAGACTGCTAAAGATTAACTTTATTTCTTCACTGCTAAAGCCATCTGGGCCTGGCTTTTCTTTTTGGGAAGGCTTTATATTAATGACTCATTTACTTGTTTT